ACGTCTTTGCCCATGTGGCCAGGGAACCGAGAGAGGTAATGTAAGCCCATGCATTTGCGTGTTTGTAGAATGTAGGCTGCTTCTCGAGCGATGCTGCCTCTTTCTTAAGCCCGAATGGTGGCGCGAGAGTCTGTGAAGACATGGGTGTGTGAGGGGTCTATCATCGCTAAAGCTATAGCAACCTGCTCAGCTATGGCGTTCGTTGTTAGCCTAACCGAGGCGGCTGGGCGTAGAGCACCGTCGCCATATACTACCACGAGTGCGAATGTGGAGTAGTCATTGTATTGCGGCGCATCGACGAATACGGTTGCGATTCGCAGCGGTACGGTAGAGGATTGCACGAGCGTGGGCCAGGCGTCTGCCTTTGTTGTGTTGCTGGAGAACATTTCTCGAAATGGGGTAGGTAGCGCGGACAGCTCTGGGGAGGGTTACTGTGCGTTCAAGGTAGGGATATGGGGACATGCCAGCCTCGCTTAGAAATCGGCGGCTGTCTTACAGGAGGTGAGGCGGATCACTTGGGCCGTGGTCTGGGCCTCGATCACTTCATCGATGTTGTTGTGCATGCCTACTTGGTCGAGACGGGAAGTACTCGTGTTTTGAGGTAAACCAAGGACTTGTTTAATACATTTGCGCATGAGTGTGTTTAGTTTCATCTTTTTCACCTTCGTCCAGTTGTGAGCAGAGGCGACGTAATTGATGTGGCTCATCAGGAACGCGTGGTATATGCGGTGAAGGTATATGCGCATAACATCTAACAGCATTTCTCGGCAGTTACTTTATGTGACTAGTTCAGCTCAAGAGTTGCGAAAAGCAACACGTTTGACGCTTCTGCTTCGACCTGATGAAACATTGTGGCGTCTGATTTCCGGAGGTATGCAGTTCTGATCTACAGCCACTGTGGGTTTCAGTATAGCAACATGTTATAGAGTCTGATATTACCTTCTGGGATGCTTACACCTTACATTCCACGGACTGCTTTTCATGTACCCTCATTTCTTCAACACCAACTCTCTTGCTATGTGCTATTTGAATTTTACTTCGTGCAAATTCTGAAAGAGGTGATAGCATAAAACCGGAGCCAAAAATTTGCAATTCCTGTGCTGAAAGAGTGAGGGCAATATTTTAAGACTGCGTTTTAATGCCACTTACATATTTGCATGTATATTAAAAGGTCTATAGAGCCTCTGTTGCTCAGTTGCCCCATATATACTTGAAGTCCTTCATGTCGATTATTTTGCCGGTAGCAGAGTCTCCAGACTTAATACGCACAGTACTCTATCATCGCTCACATATTCTGCCTACGTTTGCGTATATGCCTCCGCGCCAGCGTAGAGATTCGAAATGCGACGCCGGCAGCTGCCCGCCCCCTTCTATTATCCCTTCCGGAAATTACTTGTGGCTTCAGTAAACACCGGTGGTATGGGCGCAGCCGAGCTGCTCAGAGTGATTGCATCCGAAGAAAAACTCGAAGGCTCGCTAAGAGCCAGTGCAGGCGAGTGCGTCGCAGAAGTCACATACGCGCATTATTCGGCAAGCCCTGTGGTGCAAAACGCAAGAGCGCTTGCTTTTTGGTTGCTTTCAAGTACACCGTAACTTTAACCGATAGCCCTTTTCTGTCTGAAGTAAACAAAAAACGCTAATTTGCTGGAAACAGACTACTTGCTCTATTCTAATAAACTTTTTGAAAATCTAAACAGGCAAAATTGGCAATTTGAGTGATAAAACAGACCCATATATATGTGTCGCTTAGGATTTCGCTCCCGTGATCGGCTGCAGTGAGGACCATACTTAGAACTGCTAATAGAAAACAAAAAAAAAAACATCTTGAGCACTTCGCATTGACTATTTAAGAAAATTGTGTACCAGTACTTGAATCGCTCATGTAGAATTATGGCTAGTGATCGCGAACATTTCTAAGAAGTCAAGAAAGCATCCATCATTAAGTGCAACTCCAGTGGACTAAAACCGCGTCTTTTCGGAATTTCGTCAGTTAGTGTGCGGCAATATGTTCTAAGTCGTCAGCATTTGTGAACTCAACGCGTGTGCGAGCTCTCTTTTCTTTCCTTTTTTCCATCTTTCAAACTCCCTCATCCCTATCCTCAGTGTAGGGTAGCATACCGATCGCTCCAGACTAGTTAACATCCCTGCATTTCCTTTTCCTCTTGTTCCTCCCTTGTTTGTGTGTTAATTTAGAGGGATATTGTGCCACTTGCACTTTCAACAACGTGACCTTCCACACGAAGTGCGACCTGCAACATGTAGTGATGTGCAGATGCTAAGGTTTACGTACATTGAAGGCTAGTGGTCATGTGACTTAAGTCGCCTGTCATGTGCCAGGTATACCTTTTTCACTCCGGGAAACTTCTCTCTGGAGTGATATCGTAGAAGACTTATTTTCAGCTTTCAGCTGTTCTTCCATTTTGATGATGTGCAGAATTGATGAGTGATTCGATGCAGCCGCTGATTAGTGTCATACCTATATATATATATATATATATATATATATATATATATATATATATATATATATATATATATGCAAAATTTATGTTACTCAATACCACAAAGCCTGCGCGCCCAGAACCACGGCAGGTAACGTATGTGGTGAGAATCGCGTGTCAGCTACCCCCCCCCCCCCCCCAATGTGACGAAATTACGGGAGCGCAAAGCCACACGCTGCTCGCTTAGTCTTAGTCTTAATTTAATTTTTGTGAGCATTATGCAGGCCTCACTTCTGGTACGCGCCACTGGTCGGAGGGCAAGTGGCACCTCGCATTCTATCGATTACAGGAGTACAAAACCAATATATCTACATCGTTATACAAGTTACAGTAATGAGGCCATAGGGCAAACAAAACAGACAGCCAGGAGCATGCGCCTTGTCAGGAAGCAGCCCGGGAAAGGTGCTCTGTTCTTTCACCCCAACTGTGTTCGTTCATACATGCCACGGTTGATGGCTCGTCCATGATGACACGTGGCAATACAGCATACGCAAGCATTGAGTCCATCGGGAAATATTTGGAGGTTAACAACAACAACAAAAAAAAACTCGAGAAGCATCTAAAGATGACGCAACGAGCGACAAAACGAAAAACAAAAGCGTTACTAAGAAAACAAAAGGCAAGCGTTAGAGATTGCAATGAGCAAACGGAGGTAAAGCTGATATTTTAAAATTAAAATCATGTTGCGTAAAAATAGAAGTCCGGCTAGCCTTGCGATGCGTTCAGGGCATGTAATTGATGATGCGCATTAAAGGTAAAGAATGGGCAGTCGTAAAGCGAGTGCAGAATGTAGGATAGCAGATCATTACATAAATGACCTATTACATATATACAGTAACGCAAAATACGTTATGTACGCTGAAGACGCCAGCCCATTTTTCTCCTCACCTGAACTTGGTAGCCTTCAGAACAAAGCCAACGCCGCTCAAAAAAAGCCTCCATATGTGGTCAGTAGGAAACACTCTTCAAATAATACAAAAAAAACTAACATCGTGATTTTCAGGCCGAAATCTAAGCAGACAAGCTGCAATAACACCACCCTTTTTTATGCACATGAAAAAATTGAAATATTAGATATTGTAAAACTACTGGGGGTCACCTTTACACAAAATATGCTTTGGGATCTATACGCACCGAATCAGTTTTAGCTAAGATATCTAGAGTGGTCGCTGTGATGGCGAATCACAGATGTATGTTACCCTTTAAAATAAAGCTTGTTGTCTACAACACACTCTTTTTTTCCTTGGATTATTGTTTTTTGGTATAGGGTACGACAACACAATCTAATCTTAAAAGACTTCACATAATACAGAAAAAGTTTCCACGATTAGTTTTCAATGTCCAATATAACTCTCACACATCAAATTTATTTTAGAAAGCAAATATAATTCGCGTCTTTAACCTTTATAAGTCTTGTGTTCAAACGCTAAAAATAAAAGAAAACAAAGTTTTTCCATGAGCTATCTAATCTAGCAAAAAACACACATTAACATGGCACTCGTCACACAGAACAGTGGGCAGTGGTCACTGCGCGGACAATTGAATCTACGCAGCGAATATCTAACACTTTATCAACCCTTTTGAACTCATGTCATAAATCCAAAATTGATACACCATTTACTTCTGTGCGAGCATTGCGCGACCATTTCATCAATTTATGTTCACATAGTAAACAAGAGTAATGCTGATGTAACTGTTTATATATGAATGAACAGTAATGTTTCTTGTTTCTGTCTCACCATGTGTGTGGTCACTGCCTGCATTGTAGAGGTGGCTGTGGGCCCCTGTCAACTTGCTTGTGTCTCAAGCAACTTTTACCCGCAGTCTCCTCCATCGTTGACGGAAATAAAGAAGTTATTCTTATTATTACTATTGTGTGGCCCTTTGAGATTAGATAAATTTGTGAGAATAGCTTGAAGTCAGCTGGTGCATAAAAAGTAGTTGGAAAGCGCTCGGAAGCCTTCATCCAGCGGTGGACATAAAGTATGTCAATGATGATTATATTGATGATGATAAAAGGGAAGAATGAAAACGTCAAGTTGCTCCTTTTCAAGCGCTCCAATTGCGTTTATGGTTTCTTTTTTTAACTCCTAAGGTTAGCACCTTTGACGTACGTGGTAATGTATGGTTTTGTAAACACACACTCACAAATTTACTACATGTATCAAGTCTAACAATTAGTGGTGGAACGGTGCTTGATTCCAGTGATCAAAGTTGGGTGGTGGCCAAGCATGAGGCCCGTTATACGGAAGGTGATCGCGGCTTATATACAGGTGTGTTAAATTTCACAGTCCGTGCGTTGCAGTGGCGTTGAAGACTGGGGCATCGAAAAATGGACACGATGCACCCCATGTTCCGCGGTATTGTGGCCCCCAAAGAGTAACAGATGGGGTCACTGTTGTTTCCGTGTGTGCTTGCGAAAGAGAGTACGTGTATACAGTTGCTCTAGTTGGACTCTTGTTACAGCAGCATCTACTGCGGCGCAGTGTAAATGCGTACCTTGGAGCAGAGCCGCAGCGGAGGTACCTCGTGCCGGAGCCTGAGTTCGTTGTGTGTACGCAGGCACTCTTGAACAAACTCACTGTTGCTGAACTCAGCCACGCCTTCACCTTCCGTGCGTCGCACCTTGAGCGACCGGGCCAAGAGCACCTGTGGGGGACACATGGCATGTTTGTCATAAATCACCACATGCACCGCTCTCACCAATAGTGTTTCTGCATATTAAAGTTCGATGACTTGAAGAGAATTAATCGACGACACGAATGGCCCAGTATTAAATACTCGACGCTGCCGCTACAGGGTGATACGAAATTGGTCTTCTTTAATGGTAGCGAGAGCTACGTTGGCCGTATTCTCGCCGTGTAGCTGTGGCCGGTGGCCACACCATGAGCTCAGTCGTTGCCTAGCAACCGCCGCAGCTGGCAGCGCCACTCACAGTGCCATCTGGCATGACGACAGAGGACCCGGTGCATGGAGCTGGTGAAACCACGCTGCAGCAACAGACCAGGAGACGGCGTTGTATCGTATATATAAAAGTGGTGGCTCGGTGAGATACGTCGGCAGCTATGGAAAGTAAGTTGGTGAGACTGAAAGAACCCAAGCTTAGTCGTCGGAACGGAACCAAGAGAAGGCAGCAAGCCGAGGAGACGGAGGAAGAACAAGCCGCATATCTCGAGAAGCGTAACCAGACAGAGAACTAGGCCAAACAATAAGCTTGACCATACTTCTTTCTACACCAACCCAAGCATAAATAAGTAAAGCCATTGTCATTTTTATTTATTGTTTGACGTAACTTTAAGGCCCGTTCGCTTGCCTATGCAGTTGCTTGTGCTGTATTAGCAAAACAACGCGTGATGAAATACGGCCATGGCCAACGTGTTCCGGAAAGATTAAGTAAGAAAAGGAGGTCATGTTGTATCTAACAGTGATTTAACTGCATGTTAAACAGCTTGCCTAAGGGGTCAAAACTGAAGAATGGCCCAATATTGCCAATGTTTACTTTCATAAGCGCTCATTCCTAATTAATCACCGGTCTTCGATAATAATTGATGCAGCATCAAAATTTGCAAACTTTTTGAAGTTTTTTCTTATAAACAACCATTACTGAAGGTGTTTTTGTGAATAGACACTCGCAAGTCTTCCAAGGAGCCTTCCACAAGACGAAGTGCAACTTCAAAAAACTCTTGCCTGTTTCAAACTAGATACCCAGGTGAGTTCCAGCCTGGACCCAGGATTTTGACCTTATGCTCCAAGAAAACAAAACGGTCAAATGATTGTTTTTTCTTCCTTATAGATAAGGTATTCAGCAGAATTCTGACGAAGACATCTCAAAGCTTTGAATACGCGGGCTGATTCTTCCTATTTTGTTTCTCCCACGCTTTCGTACTTCAGATATGTAGCTCCCAGCGATATCCCTTTGGCTTTTAACATATGTGGTCTATTTAACGTATCCTCTGTCCTTTCCTATAACAACCACACATCCAACACAAGAGTTTATCTTTCCTGATAACAATGAAAAACAGCTCATAACCACCTTCCCTTTCAATGCGCTAAAGTCATTTCCATATTTGTAGTTTCAATGAAGATCATCACCACTTGTCTTTAACAAACCAGCTTGTTTGAACAAACACTTATGATTTGTCTCGTGTTGACCACAAATATCGGGTGTCTCCGTTGCAATACGGCGACTTTGTATAATACATTCATATCACGCACACCGTGACACAAAAAAAGACTGGAGTCACTTGCCTGATTGTATTGTATCTATAACCAATATTACACGCTCCTTCGAAGATGGTCCTCGTCTCCACACAGACTCGCGAGCAACCGACCGAGCCTTTATGATGGGTTCGGTATACCAGGAAGCCGCTAGAGTTCTGTCTGCTGCCAATTGAACAGGCAAAATGCACAACCTCTGGTTACCCGCCCACGTTGGCTGACATGTAGACGACACCGTCCTTGTTGCCAACGTGTCGGCACACTCCCGGGCACGAAGTCTAACATTCCACGTAGGGGAGAACCATTCGGAGGCTGAGGACGCGAGCTGGTACAACCGAGATCTCCTCCCAACCTTTTATAAAATTTGCAAGCGCCATCAGTTGCAATGGTGGAAGTTCCCCCTGCCGCATCCGCTTTTAAGCAGAGCTCAGTCGATCACTTAACGCCTGCTACAGACGGGGGCATACGCTCTTTCACTTAAATGTTCTATGTACTTGTATGGCTTAGAGCCAGGCTGTCCTCGCTGTCGTAATAACGCGCGTTGAACTTCGCAGCACATGCTATGGTCATGTACAGCACTGCACGAGAGCCCCGTGTCTCTCTCTGCAGAGAAGGACTAGCGATCCCTTCTCACTAGCGACGAGAAAGAAGACAATTCACAGGCTATCCAGGGAGCCCATGACATGGCCGAGGAGATGCATCTCCTATGGGTGCGGCCTGCCGATGTCTCCAGCGTAGTCCCCGAATCAAAATAAACTTCTTTGCCTACGTGATGCTTGCCTCCTTTCTTTCTTGTGACACTGATGCCTGCGTTCTTTATACGTATCATGTACATCTGCAAAAACAGTATATATACATATATTCGCGTAGTGCAAAGTCTTCTCTTTTTCTTTTAGTGGGAATTATTCTTGGTTAGTGACATGCCAACCTTGCATAGCTGTTCTCATAGCTGTTTGCATGGATGTTTGCATATCTAATAGTTCTCTGTGATCTCACACAATAATATATGTATAGTGATGCCACCGTAATCCGAAAACTCCTGAATTTCGAGATAATTTTTGAATTGCAATTCCTCCTCCTGTCAGGTACCCCTGCCGCGGTGGTCTAGTGGATAAGATACTCGGCTGCTGACCCGCAGGTCACGGGATGAAATCCCGGTGGCGGTAGCTGCATTTTCGATGGAGGTGAAAATGCTGTAGGCCTTGTGCTCATGTTTGGGCGTACGTTAAAGAACTCCAGGAGCCGAAATTTCCGGAGTTTTCGACTATGGCGTCTCTCATAATTATATGGTGGCTTTTGGACGGTAAACCCCACATATCAAGTTGCTATGTATTCCTTCTAAAAGGAACAGGGTGTGCAAACACGGGCACAAGTAGGAATTCGGTACACCACGAGCGCCTGCCCAACAAATGAAGAAGCGCGCCAGCGGAAAAGAACGATGGCACGAAAACTTATCTGCGCATGCCCATGCAATGCGAACATATCACTCTGACACACTAAATGGCTTCCACAAAATATAATTGTTGAGGGATTTGATTTCATCTTTGTGCAAGTTAATCAATAATTGGGTCATGCATGCGCCGCCCATATTGCAAATAAGCCATATGACTCAGTCATGAGGTGCGCTTATTCATTCATATGTCAGCACGAAAGTTCGCATTTATCGATTTTGGCGTGCACTCACGCTCTCGACCCTGTAAAGAAAGATCGGAAGGTGAGCCTTCGGTTCTTATGTTTCAGTGATCTCTGATTGCTGCAGGACGCGTCTGTCATACGTAGAAGCGACAAGAGCAGAAAGAGACCTTATATACACAAAACTTGTACGGCAATCAGTGTATTTGTTGGTGCATTGTTCAAAACAAATATCGCTCTGCTTCTTGTCTTTTACTCCCTCATTCTTTATCTGCACAATGGCAAAACTTTTGCCTACCTCATTGGCAGCCATAAAAACAACAATACCATCATATCAGATTGCTACCTACTTTCTTTAGCCAGTGAGATACCATAATGTTGTACGGTGAACCTACGATATGTTTTTTTTCTACCAATTTTGCAACTATGCTTTGACTTGACATAACGGACTTTAAATATTGAGCGAGAATGGCCACTGCATCGAGAGGATAAGCTAAATATAGAAGACTCGTAACCTGTCCGCTCAAGCTATCACTCATTTCGTGGCCCCATCACTTCGTGAGGGCCAACTTGATGCGAGAAATGGTTATACCGTTTTGAACAACTTTCAAGTTCTTGAACTAGAGCATTAACCGCTGTTTTCAAGATCTTGGAGAATACTTTCGGCATACGTAGTTTTTTTGAAACGATTAAGTAATGTATAACAATAGTACTTCACTATTCTGAGGACATTCTTTAGTATAAGTCACGCCTCCTATACATAATTCAAAATTTTCGCTCACCACTACAAAACATCAAGAAGATCTTCAGAACTACACTTCAAGCCCTTTTCATCATACGGCAGTAAATTCGATAAAAAAGAAAAAGAAAAGGTTGTGAATGTAAAAAAAAAAAAAAACTAACCAATTCCGTGAGTGTGGTCTCCAATAAGGACCGAAAAAAATAATGCATCTACCGTATGAAACGTGGCTGGAAGCATATTAATGGGACATATCCTTCGCGGTTATCATGATGTCAGTGGGTGCCTGTGTTGAGGTCTCGACAATTAAGACAACAATAGAAATGTCAGCAAGACAAGGTGACTACAGTGTACCAGAAAAACTAAGTGTATTACTAAAGAGGCACCTGCAAAATTTGCAAATTTAAATATATATCTGGTCTCCAGCGTAAACAGCCAATATTCATGACTTCAGGGCACATATGATTCAGTGTCTTCTTACTTGAAGGCCTTCGTAGCTTATGACTCCTCGTCTTGCTTCAAGAGTGGCTCGTTTTGGTTTTGTTTGTACTTCATAAAAGCATCCAGTTAACTAATCATGCTACACTTACTAGTAATAATGAGTTCTCATTATTTTTGTGTCTATCAAGAAAAGAACGAGCCCTTAAATGTACACTTCTTTCATACACTTACTAGGGGCACATGAACTGGGCGACATGATATTTTTTTCCATGCGTATATATTCGACCAATCTCTTACTTCTGGTTTACTTTTAAAAAGGGGAGAATTACCTATCGATATAATTATTGAAAATTTATCGACTCAGTCAACTCAGCGGGGGAATAAATTTGATTGAAACCAAAGGGACTGAAGCCAGGCAGGACAGGAATGGGGACATCCAGGATCTTTGCGGCATCTGGCGGAGCAGATCTCAACCCCACGCCTCTGTTTAAGCGGCCATTGTAATGCACTTGAGCAGTGCCACGTAACATGAAGGGAAGCCAGCGAGCCCACTAGGGCCCCTAAACACCGACGTGCGAATGTACCTACCAAACACCGGAGTCAATGATTGAGGACACCTCCGAACTATTTTTCATATCTGTGCTTTACGGACTGGCGTAAGGCACGAATAATTTAGGCCATAAGCATTGCCGCCTCACCCTGTCGATGAAGGTAGGCGATGGGTAGTGAAGCTGGCAGCCAAGGAGCCTCGACGGCCTTCGCTGCTGGTCTGCGTAAGGCGACGGGGGAGGAGTCTCGTCATCCTTGGTAGAACGGGACATTCGCAGCTTTTCCAAGAAGTACTCCATGCTGGAGAGAAAAAAGAAGTACAAATATTAAGGAGTTCGGAAATACAAGCGTAATCGAAATAAGCGTTTTGCACCTCCCGGTGCTTCAGAAGTGATACACCACAGGGACAATTTTGTACAAGGATTTCCACTTCACCACAGCGTTCGCAAGTGTCCGTAGGCACGAGTCGGACGCGTTGTGCTGCACGTTTTCGTCCACGCACACCCAACTTCCTACCGTTGAAGTTCTGCCCATGTTCTTGTAGTGGTGTCCTGTGGGCTGGGATCAGGCGGTGATCAGGTGTACAGCCTCACCCTGCTAATGTAACATATACTGTAGTCAGCTTGCGTTAGATAGAGAGAGACGCCAGTGTTCGGATTGGACTTCGAAGGGTGACGATTGGGTATGCGTGCATGCCACAAGTTCGTGTGCGCGGGGCTCGCCGCAGTGACGTTAAATAATTTATAAGAAGCATAAAATTGTTTTTGCCAGCTTTTTAGTTTCTTATTTTAATTCCGATGTTCTTTCCATACATATATGCTTTCTGTGTAGAGTCAAGGCTTCGTGTGAATGTAGTATTGTTAATGGGGTTTACCCACCGCTTCTTCGTTGTCACTTCCAGCTTTTTATAGCGCCTTCAAATTTCGAAGTATACAGTTTGCATTTCTGGATATCGCAACATGATGTCCTAATATTTTGATATTTTAACTTTACGCACAAAAGTCAATGACAGGTAGTAAAAACTTTATTAAAAAGTCTGGCAAATTCGTGGCCTGGCAAAGGCCGCCCCCGAGGAGGACCGGAGCTCTTGTCTCCTCACTACCTCACGGGCTTGCTGGATTGCCCACAGTTGATCCTGCTTGGAGGTTCGAGCTGCGCAGTGCGGCCATCACCGCCCCGCAGCTTCACTGACTGCGTTTTTTTTGTCTATATTCGCACATTCCCAGAAAATGTACCTACGTGATGCGTGAGTGTAGCCACACAATTTCCATGTATAATCTGGATAGATGCCTGAACATATCCTCCCGTGATCAACGGGAAGACAAAGAAGACGTTTGACCCTTCACGGCTACATAACATGATTTAATAAGCAGATAGACGTGCAGGAGATTCAGAACAGACGAGTCAGCATCAAAGTTTGTAAGTTTAACCAAAACATAGTGAGTGGCTGACTACGTCAAAAGCCTTGCTCCGGTCACAGTAGATTACGCCAACCTGTCCTCTCTGAGAAATAGGGGAGAAGATTTGCGTCACGAAACTAGGAATATTTGTGGTAGTTGAGCAGCCAGGGAGGAACCCGAGTTAATTAGGAATGAATCAATTATTCACGTTAATATACAATATGTTCTGAAGAGCCAGCTGAAAAATCTTTGATGTGGCACACAATAGAGAAATCGGGTGATAATCAAAACATCACTCTTGCAGCCCTATCTCAATACTAGAAAAACACACGCAGTTTTCCACATGCTTGGAAATGTGGAAGCGTTCTGACAGTCAATAAATATTGTAGTCAGTAACAACTACCCAAACGAAGTCATCAGAAAATGCGAATGCATTTCTTGAGCCAATAGTACAGAGCGTAGTAATTTTAATGGCGAAAATAATGACAAGACGATGATTTGTACCGTAACAATTTACGCATTCATCAACCAGAGAATGGTCGAGAGTGAGACGCGCACTTCATTCCATTTATATATACGTACGAGTGAGCGCACAGGAGAGTGCGGTGCAGGGGTGAGAGAGAGCGAACATCGAGAGAAGGAGCAGCAAAGCGCTCCACCTTCCCTCTCCTTCAGCCCCGCCATGGTGGTCTAGTGGCTAAGGTACTCGGCTGCTGACCCGCAGGTCGCGGGTTCGATTCCCGGCTGCGGCGGCTGCATTTCCGATGGAGGCGGAAATGTTGCAGGCCCGTGTGCTCAGATTTGAGTGCACGTTGAAGAACCCCAGGTGGTCGATATTTCCGGAGCCCCCCACTACAGCGTCTCTCATAATCATATGGTGGTTTCGGGACGTTAAACCCCACATATCAATCAATCAATCAAATCCCTCTCCTACACTCTCTCCACACACGCCGGAGCTCCACGAAGCTCCCGCGATTTGAGGCTCCTCACAAGTCAGAGCACGCTTCTCCTCTCCACTCACTCTCCGCGACTCCGCCGGATGAGGATAAGCACGCGCGCCCGCAGCTCTTGCTATGGGAGAGGGAGTTAGAACGAAGAAATAACACATGCCGGTGCGTGCACAACGACATACACCTGACATGCTCCGAATAAGAAATGCATGCATTCAATACTACCAAAAACCTTTACTATGGCGGAAGGAATGCCATCTGGGCCAGACGATAATAACGGTCTTAAGCACCTAATACATGAGCAGATGAGGTTTTTATCAAGCGATAGACCACGAGATGTGCTAAGTGCCTTTGGCTGTTGTATTATCTGTGTCCTATAGGGTCTGAGGCCTTATAAACGGATGAAAAGTGCGTAACAAAACAGTCGGTACGACATGCGTTTCGACACTACCCGAGTCCAGTAATTGATTGATTTATATGTGGGATTTAACGTCACAAAACCACCATATGATTATGAGAGACGCCGTAGTGGAGGGCTCTGGAAATTTTGACCGCCTGGGGTTCTTGTGCAGTCTAGTGCACCCATATCTGAGCACACGAGCCTACAGCATTTCCGCCTCCATCGGAAATGTAGCCGCCGCAGCCGCGATTCGATGCCGCGACCTGCGGGTCAGCAGCCGAGTACCTTAGCCACTAGACTACCGCGGCGAGGACCCGAGTCCAGCAGCCCGATTGATTGATATGTGAGGCTTAACGTCCAAAATACACCATATGAATATGGAAAACGCCGTAGTGGAAGGCTTAAGAAATTGCAACCTCCTGGGTTTGTTTAATGTGCTCCTAAGTGCTCTTGAATCTAAGCACACGGGCCTTAAGCATTTTGCCTCCATCGAAAATTCTACTGTTGCAGCCGGGATTCGATCCCGGAACTTTCGACCTTCGGGTCAGCAGCTCAGTACTTTATCCACTAGACCGCCGTGGCGGGGCAGTGCAGTAAGCCGAGAGACTCCCCACCACCATTATTATTATTATTATTATTATTATTATTATTATTATTATTATTATTATTATTATTATTATTACAACCTGCTTCAGTCACATCCTCGGGTTTCTTCCTGAATATTTCGCTGATTTTGTCATGTATTTTGCTCGATTGCGGGTAGTCTTTATTTTTATTGCGCAAGAGTACTTAATGCCGACATAATGTAATTTTATTTTGTTGAGCTAACAAATGCAATTAAGATCTACTCTTATTTTATTTATTTCTATTTAGCACAGTTAATGCTTTTTCAAGACGTTATAGAACAAGGTAGTGAAACAAAATTTTAAAAAATGAAACGTTCTCTCACTTTTGCTTGCTCGTGCCCTACATGATTCCGCATAACACTGCCACATTGATGTCACGTTGTATGGCCTCCCATTCAGAGCGCAAAAAGATAACACATTCGGAGAAAGTCGTCAGTGCTCTAGCTGCCACAGACCGGCAACCATGCGTCATTATTACCGACTCGAAAGGGGCCAAAAGAAATATTGCAAAGGGATACTTCCTTTACCTGGCGTATCCCATGTTACAAAATAGCAATTATGTCGGTGCCCCTGCCTCCCGTTTGATCATTTGGACGCCAGGTCATGTGGGCCTATGTATGCGTACTTATTAGCGGCAAAAACGCACCCTGTGCTGCGTGCGGCAAACGCGTTCGTTGCAGACGCGTGCGTTCGTGTTCCCATTCACGTTTTATACGACGCGACAGGGATGCCCGTAAATAATCTCGAGTTGTCTCGATGCGTTCGATGCTTTTAGTGAAAACAGGCACCCACGCGCACGGCCTTTGTTCAGCCGATTTCTTTATCGTGCACACGTGTCTTTTGCCTCAACCTTGAACGCGTTCTTCAGGTGAGTTTCATTCCATGAAGTCATCTTGAAAACCAAGTGTGTATGCGAGCAGTCTTGAATCGGTCTTCCAGTCTGAAGCCAGACAGACGCAGCACACCAACTCATACGCAGCTTCGTAAACACGCAATGAGCGTTTTCGATTTGCACGCACAACGCTTCCTCATGCAAATCATGTGAATCCACGTTTGTATATCCACACTTTGACGAGTGGGCCGAGGTGGCGCCGCAATTGCGCGGTTCGCTTTTGATTGGTCCTCGCTTGGTGGCGTGCCGCGAAAAATTGGTCTCGCACACATTCGCGCGTTTGCCACGCTTTGCTGCCACTTGCCGCGCGCGGCGGGTCGCGCGCGTTTTTGGCCCTAGTGGGCACGTAGTTTAAGACAACTAAATGGCAGAAGATGCTGCCTGCGCGCTCAGTCTCCGGGCAACGCCTTTTGACCCTGCCGAAGTGGATCCCGAACCTAATATGGCCTTAACGTTTGGAGAAATCACTCGATGTTATATATACCTACTCGGCCACACAATCTATCCTAAACCCTCTGAGGGTCTTACAAAGGCAGAGGAGTGCACACGGCTCCGCTTTTACACCAAAACAATTCTGTGCATAGTAGTTTTAAAACACTTCTATCCTGCCTGTACTGGCCAATGTCCGCGCTGTGCGGAGAAGTCTTCGGACATGGTGTGGGCGTGCCGATCAACCCCTCGCCTCGCCCCAAACCAAACCCGACCCTGCATGACTGGGCGGCATCCCTGCTCGGCTGATTCAACCTGGCGAGCCAGAAGGCCCTGGTCGATCAAGCCCGAGTTGTGGCGGTCGCCGATGGGCTCCTGTAATGAGGAGCCCACCCAGTGGTTGTGACGAGTGGCCCCCTCACAGTGTCCACTTCTCACATAATTGTCCACCTTACTTATTGTGGACATTTATAAGACACTTCTTCGTCTCTATCATTATATGGTGCTCTTCAACTTCATCGTTTGTGGAGACACCTCTTCAGTGTGTTCTGGGTCTCAGATATGACTGGTTTTGCCATGTCTTCCACGCCATGTAAAATACT